GTCACTGGTTTATAGAAAATGTAGTCACTTTTTGCTTTTATAGACATTGCCAAACTTATTTTGAAAACTTATATTCTGTGCACCAGCAGTCTTTCTTTAGTTCTCACGAAGTAGTTTTTACAAAAAGTGAAAACATTACTCATAAGCAACTACAGAGGAACTATAAAACAAGCTTAGTAGATTAAAAACATTAAACATTTACTTTATTTAGAAGTAAATGACTACATGTTATATACCTTCCTTATGGCTGACTCTCATATTGAACAAGTTCCAGATCCAACAGTTCTCTCAGAAAATAATCAACATTTCCAACCCCTTTATAAAAATGTGCAGACATACGTATTTTAGATTAATGTGCAATGTAATAGTCACAAGGTTACTATTAGCAAACCATATGATTCTTAAATAGTTACTAAATTTTAAAAGAATGGGTTTAAAACAATTTTCAAAGTGATACAAACCCTTACATATTGAAATGCTGAATTTTTAATGTTTTAAATTTACAAAACTCCAAGGATCCCTTACTAGATTTTTTTACCCGGGATCTGATTTCTATTTCAAGCCTACTTGTTTTCAAATCATCAAATGTTATTTAAACAGAATTATCTCTTTCAAGCCACACACTGAATGAATCTACATATGTTTTATCACAAAATTTTACGTCACCTAAGAGATTATCTATTTTAATCCACATGCTGAGTCTACACAGCACATGTCTAATTCATGAGCTCCGAAAGGCTACAGTGTTGCTGAATGGATTATTTCCTTGAATCTATTATTGGCAGTATAGAGGTGTTTGGTGCTTGCCTTTATGGCCCATCTTCTAGAAATAACAAAATTATAGCCTTCATAAAGTGCCAATTTTTTTTTTTTTAATGTCAAATGCAGTTGGTATTTTCCTTAACACCAGATTCAACACTTTGCAGGCCTAAATCAATACAATGTGACCAGGGTCAGAAGGGTCCATCAGGAAGACCAAGGAGAAACAAACCCGGTCTAAAAAATTCTTCAAACAAGGCAGGTAGAGAAACTGATCTAGACTTTTGTAAGTGACCTGGACAGAGAACTTCTCAAACAGTGCCCTGTTTTTATAACCTTACCAAGATAGAAATAATTGGGAGAATTCTGCATGCAGATATTTGTGTTATGATTCTACAAATAAATACTAAGTCAGCAAGATACAAATTTTGCAATTACTTTGTTGACAAGCAAATGATCTGTTTAGATTAGTCAAAGCCACCATGGATCCCCCAGATACTGTCCTCAGGTGAAGTGCCAATGCAGTGACCTTCAGTGTAATGGAATTTCTTGCTAGCTCAGTGTGTGACACTACTGGATGCCAACTGGAGAGCAGGCAATGTTTTTCCCTCTTCTCAATAAGTACGAGACTATCAGAGATATTTCTTCACATTTAATACCACCATTACTTAGTGCTTCTTCTATAGAGAAGGTAAAAGACTCTATAAACCGGCCAGTTACACTACATGGCTGATTAGAAAAGAAAAAGCCAATAATTCCTTTAAGCAGCTAATAAGTTTATAGCATATATTGACTACTGTTGGCAGAGATTTTAGTCAAACTGTTCTGTTCTGTAAAACTGGATTTAGTCCTTTTTATGTGCTTGTTAGAGGATTGTTTCTAATGTAACTTTAAAACCTAATTACTTCACATTTTCAAAGTACCAGAGCATAAAATGGTATGAATTCTAACAGGCAAAATAATCTAACATGAGAAATAATTTTATGCTCTTAGAAATGGGTGACCTTTACTAACTCACACTACTTTTTGAAAAATGAAATTGACTTTAAGTGGGTATGACAACTATTTACTGATAGCTAAAGTATCCAAATCAAATGCTACTTATTTCTCCTATTTTGAAAAGTTTATTGTTATTACTTTTTAAATAGTAATAGTAAGAAACAGTTCTCTAAACTTTTCCAACCTGTGATTCTAATAGTTATCCAAATGCCCCTGAAAGTAACTTGCTGATAGCAACTTAAAACCAGCACTTAAGAACTGAGCTCAGTCCTCATTTGGCTATAGTCTTAAATATCAAGAAAGGGTACCCCCCACACTCACTCACTCACTCACTCACTCACACATTTCCTAGAACTAATTTAATGTTAAATGAAAAACACTCACTCACTCACTCACTCACTCACTCACTCACTCACTCACACATTTCCTAGAACTAATTTAATGTTAAATGAAAACTGACCAAGTATATGGAGAAAAGTTTCAATCCACAAGAAGACCTCATAAATATTATAAAGGCTGTAAATATCCTAGAAACATATGTAAAGATCATCTTAGAACACATACAGAGGATCTATTCAAATACATCATTTTAAACTATCATTAATAGTTTATCTTATTAGACTCAATAAGTTCATATTTTCAGATGTAAGAAAAAAATTTACACATATCCTTCCTTCCCCCAACCAAAAACACTGTGCGACTACATAAGATTTACACGTTTATTTGCCTCATAAAAAATAGCTGCCGAAACAACTAAGCCATTGTTCTTGTCTAACCTCTTCTGAAGTGGCATGAAAACTACATTCCTGGGCACTACATAATCTTCGTGCCTGACCCCCCAAGAGCCTTTAAGTCAAATTCATTTACCCCCAGAGGGCAAGGCACTATTGTGTCCTCCCCACTTTCTAGCCACCTATGAACAATGGACAGTAATTGCAACTGTCATGGGCAGTCAGTAGGAAAAGTAACCCAGTGCTATTTTCCCACTTTACTGCCAAACCTGAGCTGAACACCTAATATCCATGCTCCCAACAGAAGAAAGACCTTCAGTTGCTTTTAAACGCATTAGAAAACAGCTTTTTGAACAGAACCAGAGGACAATAACCATACTTGTGCTCTGAATGTGAAGCTTAAAAAACTCAAAATTAAAGACAGGAACTTCTTTTGTGATTGTACTGTAGCTTCCTACTCTACCCCCCCAGGCAAGCCTGAAAGGACAGCTGAGCTCTCCTCTAAGCTTATCATCACTGTTGTTGCTTTAAAGTGTGACTTGTGAAGGAAAACCAGGGAGGAAAAAAATGTCTGTTCTCCAACGGAATGAGATCACAAGGTTTGCAACAGGTGGTCTTCTCTGCTCTACTCTCAGCTATTACAGAGGCCAATGGAGAATAAACAACCTGGGAGAATACATCCTAAGCTTCAGGTGCAAATGGGTTAAAATCCATGAATGTAACATAAAGGACCTGCTGCCTTTGAAAATGAAACTTCTCAGTTCTCCTTAAACCTTGTCTTCAATCTCTTTAAAACACATTAATTCTTATCCATTTGAATTAGATTTCATTATTTGTAGGTCAGCACCCATTCATTCTCTCACCACCCATTCACAATTGATCACAGCCTAAGAATGTAACCCCAAATGATGTGGATGAAAAATGAAATATTCAGTCAGACGCTTTCTGGAAGTTTCCAAATATCCAGATGTTAATGTCATATAGCCCACACATTTGAGACAACTGATGCTTTGCCTTTCTCCAGAATACTCTGATTGAGGATAGCCTTAA